TCTGCGCAGGCCCTTCGCCTGAAATGACCATCCCAGTCTCCCTTGTCTTTATCGATTCTCCTCCTGCACAGTTACTTTTCGCTATGTGACTGCCTGCGATAGCTGTACAACTAGCAGCAAGGCGCAAAAGGGTCATCATTTCTCATAGTCTGAGCAATGAACGTCCCTCCCAGAGTACTGCTAAAAATAGTCCTTATACAGTGCATATTTTTCCTCCGCGGATTTTCGATGCTCGGGATGATGTATAAATATTCCGTTACCATACTAGGTCTGTAGAAAATCGGGTATTTTATCCGATAGCGTACTTCAGTTTACACTTAGGAGAATAAATGAGAAATTCGTCGGATCCAACATCTGCAGGTTTGTTAGTACAGTAGGCAGCCTTATCCATGTGTGTATCGATAGTTCATGAGGACTGATTCGCTCTACGGATGACTAAGCCATAAACCACAGAAAAAGCCGTGTTCGGAACAATTTTCCCTTCTTAACAGTGTGTGTTTTTGCAAAACGTGTGAATAGTGTCGCCTAAAAAGGGTCCAAAAAAACGTACAGTAATGACGTGACATTTGTGGGAAAATACTGCAAACCTTGAAGGTGTACCGACTTTGAAGCACATGTTTGCCTGCAAGTAGCCAGTATTTCGTTCATCCTTTACCTCGTCCGTCTCCTTTACTTCTGTAAATGGATTTGACCGCGAAAATTGCCATGACACACGTTATCTCCATACGAACAGGGCACCCATCGAGATGCCTAACTACAACGCGTGTTGTGGACCGATTTCACTTGCTTTTTCTTTCTGTTGCGTATCTATTTGCCCGCCTTCATCTCCTCACATTGTAGGGTAAATACCTCCACATCAAAGAGCAACGCCCAGCCCAATGGAGTTCCCTCGTCGACACCTTCATCAACCGCAGCAACTCCCGCTGTCGGTGCTGAGACCAAATTGCGCGACCTGGAATCTCAACTACAACAGGTTAACTTCACACTTCTTTGCTGTTGTTCGATCTCTGACCCCTGTTCATCCACTATCTGGGTTTATGAGTAACCGTAGGACTGGTGAACGGAGGAATAGTCAATTTAGTCCTAGGGATCCTTAAGTTTCTGTTCCTCCATAAGATCATCTAGACGCGATTATTATAGATCCACCTAGACCCAAACCTCATTATTAGTGTAAAGAAAACGCATCTGAGACTTTTGTAATTAGCATTTTGTTCGTCACCTTTGTAAATAACCGACCGAAACACATGAAGCCTGCTGATAAATTTTTGTGAAGGTTGCCAGACAGAGAAGATTACCTACGTCCTACGTCAAGGAACATGGTAATTTAGTTCGTACCTGGCAACATACTGCGTTTGGCTGTAAATTGCTGCAGCCATATCTCCCAATCTCGTTTAAAAATACATCTACTTGATTAGGGCGTATTTTTCTCTCAACATTCTATTTACTCACGTTTCTTAAAATGCTTTAACGTAAATCTCAGTTCTGTCGATTACTTGGTAAAACAGCGTCATCACGCAATTGGGCAACCTTCCAAACCGCGATTGTCAACGCGTCCTGATAAGTTAGAGTCCTGCTCGGTTCTGTGTGGTGGGAGAATGCACCAGTCAACTGACCGGATCGGACGGTGGCTGAGCCTGGGAAGGGAAATGGAATGTGAGGTCGACAGATCAGTGTATGTTTCTCGCTATCAACAATCTGGCGCGCTTGAAGTTATCACGGTGCGTTACAAACCATGGCTCTTAAGGTTGCCAACTGACAGGATATCTCGGACCGCCCAGTAAACCCACTGTGTGTTTGTGTGGAATGGCTGATTGGCGGGCTGAGAGTTAGACTGCATTAGCCCCTTTTTAATATGGCCTTTATGGCACTCCACTGCATGGGATCCGAGCCCCGTGTAGCAGCACGCTTAGAGTCGGCTCTAGCGGCGCCAGCCGCCTATGCTCACGCCGGTCTTCTTGAGTCGATCACGCTACCAGGTCCAGGTGGGGGAATAAGAGTGAGTGCGGTAGATGTTGCGTGAGTCTACTCTCAGTATTATCTACTTCACGCACAAGTCACCGTCCATGCGACACCTTGCTGTGGGGCACACCTTGGACCAGGTCGTATACGACAATCGACTGTCGGAGGTGGTGGCGAAAGTAAATGATGTAACCGAACTGAAATGGCCTCACAGTGTCTACCCTCTCCTATACCACCAACAAGTCTGAGTTAACCTGACTGAAAGTTAGAGTGGTGCCATAGTCGATTTACCGTGAAGCCTTCGTTTAGGGCATGCCATCCTCGAGGTCGTGTATCACAAAAGTAAAGAGGTGTTCAAAAGGACCTATTAAAACGAACACATTGCGATA